TGCAGTGGCACACTTCTTGTCATCCCACCTGCACAGGAGGCAGAGGTAGGAGGATTTTGATCTGAGGCTGGCCCCTGTCAAAAGCATGAGACCCCACCTGAAAAATAAATTACAAGCAAAACAGGCTAGGATCAGGGCTCAAGTGGTAGAGTGCTTGTCTAGCAGGCACAAGGCCCTGAGTTGAAACTCCAGTACTACTACAAAGCCCCCCTACAAAAACAGTTTATTCCAGATTTTTTTCTTCAGTGGTAGTTACCTGAGACCGCCCCCCTTCCCCACCCCTTGCTTCCCTTTCTATGTATGATTTATTTGTTTAGACATGATATTTTTTCTCTTTTCTTTTTGGGCTGGGGACATATTTGTCAAGTGATCTATCAGTGAGCTATACCCCCAGGCCCTATACATGAATCCAAATACTTGAGGGGTTTTTTGGTTATGTTTCCTAGTTTTCCTTTTTGGCTATCTTTGACCTTATCCTTATGTAGAAATGCCAGTTTGTGCTTCTGTCAGATAGAATTATTATCCTGTGTAGGAAAACTAGGTGTAATTTTATAATTTTAAAAATGTAAATTTGTAAAATGAGCCTTCATTATTCCATGGAAATTGTAGTTTCCATTCAGAGGCTCTACTTGCTTCTGAAGATACACCCTTGCCCTCTCCTGAGTGTAGAGGGCCAAAATACATACAAAACATTAACAGTGTTAACAGTACTAAATGCTTTGTTCATATTGAATATCAGCTCTGCATTTTTTTTTTATGAACTGAAAATTAAGTGAATAGGATTTGTTTTCTAAATAGTCTCTGCTATACTTTCTACTCTACTACATATTAAGGAAAAATTCACTCTTGGATCCAAGATAGATTTTATTACTGTTTTATTGAGGAATAGTTGACATGCAAAAATCAGCATCTCCATATATACAAATAATGTGAATTTTGACCTATGTGTGCACTTGTGAAACCATCACTACAGTCAAGAATGAACATAACCAGGCTTGGGGAAGGGGGGAGAAATGACCCAAACACTGTATGTACATATGAATGAAAGAAAGTATCGTACTATCCAGCTACTCAGAAGGCAGAAATAGGATGGTATTAAGGCCAGCAAGAGCAATGCAATTGTGTTTTCTTGTTTCTGGCTTTGTAGATTTTCCCTTTATTGTCTGTTTTAAACCATTTGATTACAGTGTAACTTCATGTAGGGTTTTTTTAAACTTTTTATAGCATTTTCATATTCTTGGGTTTATTGAGGTTTTTTTATGTCTGAGTTTATAGTTTTTATTAAATAGGGGAAAAATTCTGCCTGCCTTTCTCTGTTTTTCTTGGAACAACATGAGATACAGTTTATATATTATACAATTCACTGATTTAATGTGCACATTTAGTAGGTTTTATATATTTATGCTGTTGTACAACATTTACCACAATCAGTTTGAAAACATTTTTATCATTCTCGAAAGGATTCCTGTACTTAACTAGCAGTCATTCTCCATTTCTCCTCAACCTCCCAGTTTTCAACAACCATTAATCTTCTATCTTAGTATGTTTTTAATTATTGGGAACATTTCATATAAATAGAATCATATAATATATGATCTTTTTGACCAGATTATTTTATTTAGTAGGAATGTTTTCAAGGTTTATCCCTGTTATAGCATGTATTAGTACTTCATACAATTTTCTATTGTATGGTCATGTCAAATTGGGGTTGGTTGTTTTTTTTGGTGGGACTGGGGTTTGAACTTAAGGCTTCATGCTTGCAAAGCAGGTGCTCTACCACTTGAGCCACACCTCCATTGCTATCACATTTTATTTGGGTTGTTTCCAATTTTAGCTCTTAATACTTCTATTAACATTTTGTATGTAAGTATTTGGGTATATATTTTCATTTCTCTTAAGTATTCATACTTAGGAGTGAACTGCCAACTCATACGTTAACTCTGTTTAACTTTCTGGAGAACTTCCATAATATTTTCCAATGTTTGTGCATCATTTTATATTCCCACTAGCTGCGTATAAGGGATACAGTTTCTCTATTCCTTTCCAATACTTACCATCAGTCTTTTGGATTATATTCATCCCAGTGGGTTTGAAATAGTGTATGATTGTGGTTTTGATTTTGTATTTCCCTCATGGCTAATGATACCGAACATCTTTCATGTGGTTGTTGTCCATTTGTATATCTTCTTTGGAGAAATGTGTATTCAGATCTTTCACTCATTTTTATTTTTATTACTATTAATGTGGTATTCTTGATTGAACCCAGGGCCTTGCATTGTGCGTGTGCTAGGGAAGTACTCTACCACATCACCCATGCCTCTGGGACTTCCGGTTTTTTTGTTTTTATTTTTGAGATAGGGTCTCACTAACTTTGCCCAGCCTGGATTCAAACTTTCAATTCTCACACCTCTGCCTTCTGAGTAGGTGGGATTACAGGCATTGCCCATTTTTAATTGGATTGTCTTTTTTTTCTGAGTTATAAGTTCCTTATATATCTTGGATGTGATAAATGTCTTATAGATGATTTGTGATTTGCAAGTGTTTTCTTCCATTCTTTGGATTGTCCTTTACTTTGATTATGTCCTTGGATGAAGTGCAGTTTTATCTGATTTTTCTTTTGTTTGTGGTTTCATTTAATAATCTATTGCCTAATCCAGGTCCAGCTCGGATTTGAACTCAGGGTTTCCCACTTGCTAGGCAGGCACTCTACCACTTGAACCCCTCCGCCAGCCCTGTTTTATGTTGGGTTTTTTTGAGATAAGGTTCCTTGAGCTATTTGCCTGGGCTGGCTTGGAAAGTCATTCCTTCTGATCTCTGCCTCCTGAGTAGCTAGGATTTTTAGGCATGTACTACCAGTGCCCGGTTTCTTTTATTTCTTAAGATATATATTTTTTTTCTCCCCATCTCATCCCTGATTTGAGAGGCTCCAGTCACAAATATGTTCAACTGTTAAACTTTGTACCAGATGTCACTGAAGTACTTTTCACTTTTTTCAGTGTTTTTTCTCTTTCTTTCATTTGATATAGTTCCTTTTGCTATGCCTTCAGATTCACTAATTTTCTGCAGTGTATAACCTGCTTTTAATCCCACACTGTATTTTTCATTTTAGATATTGGTGTAACTTGTTCAGTTAGGATGTCTGGGCTATCTGCTAATGTGGAGTATAGCTATTGTAAATTAATGTCTGTGTACTAATTTTGTTATAGTTATCTTGACTTTTTTTAACTCAAAGCCTTGGTACTTTTAGGTAACCCTTCTACAACTTGAACCACATCCCAGTCCATTTTGCTTTAGTTTTTTAGATAGGATCGTAGCATTTTGGTTGATCTCAGCCTTGGACCTCTGTTCTCTTTCCTCTGCCTTCTGCTTCGCTGGGATTGCACGTATATACCATCATGCCCAACTTGTTTTTTGAGATAAAGTCTCACTAACTTTTTGCTCTGACTGGTCTTGAACTTTGATCCTCCCATCTTTGTGTCCCAAGTAGCTGGGATCACAGGCCTGTGCCTCTGTGCCCGCCTTAACTGAGTACCAAATACTGTGAATTATTTTTCTTGGGTAATACATCTTTGTGTTCCTCTAACTAGTCTTCAGCATTGTTGTGGGATGCAGTTAAGTTTCTGGAAAACATTTTGATTCTTTTGAGCCTTGATCTTAAACTTTACTAGGTGAGACCAGAGCTATTAGTCCAGAGCTAATTTTGTACCACTAATAAGGCCCTATGTTTATGAGTTAAGAGATTGTCCCCTCTTGCAGTGGGACCACAATCTAGCCTTAGTGTTGTGTAAATCTAAGGATTGTTTTAGGTGTTTTTCCATCTCTGGCTGAAGCAGTTTCTCAATATTCATCTACTGATCAGTACTTGAGGAGGACCTTCTTGAAATGTTGGAGGGACCTCCTTCAAATCAGTTGATCTCTCTGTTCATTTTTCTCTAGTTAGTACTCTGCCTTCTTGAATCCTCATCACCTTGGTTTCCCTGGACTTTGTCTCCATAATTCAGGGAGATCACTCTGTTTCATCTGGGATCCTCCTCCATGTTCTGTTTCTTGGTAGTTGATGTCCAGGAAGTAAACTTAGACAGTTACAGGGCCTACCTTATTTGTTTCCCTTCCTTCAGGGATAATTGTCCTGTGCTGGCTCATGTCTGATATATTTGTTGTAGGTAGGATAACAAGTTTAGCCCCTGTTACTGTTTCTTGATTAGAAATCAGTCTCAAGGTACCTTTTTAGCCATTAGAAGATAATCAGTTCTGAAAGTTTGGTATATTTCCATTACATTTGTTTGTTTCATTCTCTCAGATTAAATATTGAATTTTAAGGAGATTGTAAGAAGTATTGAGCCAAGAAATGCCAGGTACAGATTTAATATTACATTGAAAGATGTTATTCTGGTCTCAGTTACTGAATCTTGTGTCTGTTATTAGTTCATTATATAGTTATAACTAGTCTGAAATTCTTCTAGGTAAGTATTTTTAATTTTACTTAAATAGTACAGACTTTGCTTGCTTACATGATTCTTTGTGCATGGGTACTTGGTTTCTCATTTAAACTGAGAATACCTTGTTTTCTTTTTTGTTATATACATAGAATTATACACATTTGAGCAACTTCTTAAGGGCATTAGAATTTGATTTTTTAAAATAAATTCAAATCAATAATATTCAAATTTTGGTTGTATTATTGCTATAAATTATTCATATTCTTTTGTTCATATCTGAGGTCAATTTAAGGATGAATTGTTTTCCATTGTAAAAGATACTCAGCCATAAGTATTGGCATACTTTTAAGTTTTTGTTTCAATCTGTTAAGCAGAGAGTTTCTTAATTAACAATAGCAGTAAATTGTTCTAGGATAGGTAAGAGTTCTCCTGTTAACCCTTCCATAATTTTGGATAATAATTTAAGTTACTAATCAAAACATCTAAATCTTGATTTAGTCCATGGACAGATTATTATAGAGACCACTATATAATCCTTCCTGGTTTTTTTCTCTCTTATAGGAAATGTAAGAAGCTTAAGCTCATCTTTGTGGTCACTAACCCACTTGACAGCTTTGCATCTGAGTGACAATTCCTTGTCCCGCATTCCTTCAGACATTGCCAAGCTTCACAATCTGGTGTACCTGGATCTGTCCTGTAATCAAATCCGTAGTTTACCGGCAGAACTCGGAAACATGGTATCACTCAGGTATGCAGATTATACGCAGATTCAGTTACTACATACTAATTATATGCCCACGACAAAATGTAACATTAATTTTGTTAGGGGATAAGACTATCCATTTGATGGTGTGTTTGAAGTAAAGGAAACATCTTTTATTTGAAAGTTTTTTTGGAAAATTGAATGTTGACTAATAAATTAAGTAGATTCATTGCTTGAGATTTTTCTGTTGCTATATTCTGTTAATGTTACTTCTTCTTGAACCAAAATTTGTGGATAAAATGGGGGTGGGAACAGTTATAAGGTACTTGTATTATCTCACATGCTCACCTGTGATAGACAGTTGGGGTATCATATATCCTTAACACTGGACCCAGGAAGCCATTGCTAGTCATTGAGACCTTTGTGCTAATCCCAAGGCTTGCATGTATGATACTAGTAAAGCCTTGATGTAAACAAAGCTAGAATTAGTTCTTAAGTTTGGAGGCCTATAGTGGAGTATGAGGATTTGGAGTCACGCAGTTCAGGTTGGAATCTTGATAAGATATGGTAGTGTGTTTATTTATTTTTTTCTTAACTACATATAGCTTGAAAAGCCCAAAATTAGATTTTGGAATACAGTATAAAATCTTGTCATTCTTAGGTACTTATATTCCTAGAAATTGTACTGTCGGTTTTGATTGTTAAAGGTTCATATTTAGTTTTTTTAAACTGCCTGAAATTTTTCCGTCAACAGGGAGCTCCGTTTAAACGACAACCAGTTACGAGTTCTGCCTTTTGAGCTTGGAAAACTGTTTCAGTTGCAAACTCTAGGCCTGACAGGTATGACTTCCATTTTGTGCTTCTTATAGTTATATATCTGTATTTGTCTTAAGTCTTTTTGAATCTAAAGAAGCCATAGAGAATCCTCTCATCTGGAGTTTTTTTTCTTTTTCTTTTCTGCAGACTCACTTTTTTCCAAGTTTCATGAGTTTCTTAGATACGTCCCAAAGTTTTTTCACTTGGCTGTTCACCTGTAGACTTGTTTACTAGTCTTTATCTTCTTTCTTGCTCCAGGCCTAAGTTTACTATTCTAGACTTTGTTTTCATCAACTGTCTGTCCCGGTGATATATTTCTGAAGCGATATGTTTTTTATTTCATCATGATATAGACATCTTTTTTCCCTTATGCTCAAAGCTCAATAACTGGAGAGTCTTATAAAATACTACAGAAAATAGTAATTAGAAAATGTTCATCCATTGGGACCTGCTAATAATAATTGGGATTCTCCGGGCACTGGTGGCTCACCCATAATCCTAGCCACTCAGGAGGCAGAGATCAGGAGGATCACAGTTTGAAGTCAGCCCAGCCAAATAGTTCACGAGACCCTATCTTGAAAAAACCCATTACAAAAAAGGACTGGTGGAGTGGCTCAAAATATATATAGGTCCTGAGTTCAAACCCCAGTACCCATTCCCCCCACCCCAAAAAAATAAATAAATAAAGATTGGGATTTGAGTATATAGTTTTTTCAATTTGATTTATGAGGACCTGATTAATATGTTACGGGACGGGGTGGGGGGGTGCGCATAATTAATCAGGAAAATATTAGGAAATAACTTATTAAGCCAGTAAGATTAAAAGTCAGATTTTAACAATATGTCAAGACCTGCACACTTTTTTCTAAATCACATTAAATGATTTACCAGTCTTGGGTGAATATGGCCAGCCTATTGCAAAATGGTTGCAGAAAGCAAAGATGACTATATATAGTCTTTAAGAGTGGCACTCTTATTCTATTAAAATTCAGTAATAAGGTGAAGTTCTGTACCTAATAGTTCATTTCATATATTGTAGAAATAACTATTCAAAAAAATAAGGGAAAACTATAAATGTATGTTTACAGTGTCTATGAAATCTTAGTATGATCAGCTTTGTAAATGGTTCAAGTCCCTTGGGTGTCAGAGAAAGCTACTGTTGTATGCCCTTCTAGCTCAGGGTTTTAGAACCTCATTAATAGTTTGCAAACTAATCCATATGCGTTAAGGATTCACAAACTATATGAAGTTCAGGCCATCAGTCACAAATTTTCAGACTGATTTAAGTGATTTAACACCTCTGAGAGTAAGCTTTCGTGAAAGGGCAGTCTTTGTTGCCTTTGATTTTAATGATCCTTTGTGCAGCCATTTCAGAATTCATTGCTTTGTATTTTGCATCTATGCTTGTATGTTTCTTCATCACAGATACACAGTACATAGAGACATTTGTTTATTTCAGATATCTTGTTTGGATGGTATAATACATCTCTCTGTAATAAACAATCTTCACAGAGTTCTTTTTTGGATAAATCTGCTATTTTTCTGAACTTTTGCAGGTTATACTTTAATTCTAATGTTTTTGCCACCTACTTTTTATTAGGCTGTACTCCAAAGTCATTGTCCAGTTTCTTTTTTTTTTTTTGGCCATATGGGATTTGAACTCAGGGCCTCATGATGCTTTGCTAGGCAGGTGCTCTACCACTTGAGCCACTCTGCCAGCCCTTGCTGTATTTCTTAAATCAGTTGTGTCATCTTTGCACTCTCTGAATTCTATCATTGATTTTTCTGAGTCATGCCTATTTGCTATATTATGCATTCTTCCAGAGCCAAAGTATTTTTGTCTCATGAAATCAGTCTATACTATTTTCTTTTAGGTTGATTACATAACACTAGCATTCTTCAGGTTTTTTTTTCTTTACATTGATTAGTCCATGATCTTCAAAATTGTGTTATCATAAAGGTGGCTCCAATTAGGTGCTCATTCACTTTTTTTTACTTAAACTTTTAATTTTGAGACAATTGTAGATTCACAGGCACTTGTAAGAAATAACACAACACAATCCTTGTACTCTTTATACAATTTCTGTCAATAGCAGAATCTTTCAAAACTATATTAAATTATCACAAGCAGAACAGTCAAAATACAGAACATTTCATGAAGTAAGCCAGGCACAGACACAAATACTGACAATCTCACTTAAATATGTACCTAAAAAAAAAAAACAAAACCAAATTCATCTGGGCGCCAGTGGCTCACACTTGTAATACCAGTTATTTGGGAGGCTGAGGTTGGGAGGATTGCAGTTCAAGGCTAACCCGGATATATAGTCTTTGAGCTCCCACTTCCAAAATAACCAGAGCAAAATGACTGGAGGTATGGCTCAAGCAGTAGAGCACCTGCTTTATAAGCAGGAAGCCCTGAGTTTCAACCCCAGTCCCACCAAAAAAAGTCAGATGCATAGAAGAGCAGAATGGTGTTACCAGATGTTATAGGTAGAGGTGGGGTTGCTTCAATTAGGTAAGAGAAGTATGTTCTGGTGATCTCTTGCACATCATGATGACTATAGTTAATATATTGTGTATTTCAGAATAGCTGAAAGCATGCATCTTAAATGTTCTCACCACAAAGAAATAAATGATAAATACTTCTGGTAGATTTGTTAATTGGCCCAATTTGATCATCCCACAGTCTTTACATGTATTGAACATCATATTGCACCCCATAATTATATACAATTATCAAAAAATACCAAACATTTCAATCATCAAAGGATCCCTTGGGCTGGAAGCATGGCTCAAGTAGAGTTCAATCGCCATTACTATACCCCTCCGCCCCCAAAAAAAGATTCTTAATGTTTTTTTGTGTTCACTTTCCTTCCTCCTCAACTCACTTTTTAACTTCTAACAACCACTGATATATTCTCCATTTTTGTAATTTTGCTTCAAGAATGTTACATGAATGAAATCCTACCGTATGTAACCTTTCAAGATGGCTTCCCCCTTCCCACCAAAATCCAGATTAATTGCTTTGTGCTCATCCAGGTTGTTGCATGTATCAATAGTTTGTTTCTTTATATTGATGAGTAGTATTTCATGATCTCATAGTTTAACCTCTGGGTTGCTTCCAGTTTGTGACTCTTACAAGTTAAGCTGCTGAACATGCTATGTACAGGATATCATGTGAACATAAGGTTTTTCTCTGATAAATGCCCAGGAGTGCCACTGCTGGGTCCTTTGGTTATGGTTAGTTTTCAAAGAAATTACCAAACTGTTTTCCAGAGTGACAGTACTAGTTTACATTTCTACCAGCACTGTATGGGCAATCAAATCTCTCTGCGTCCTGATCAGTGTTTAGTGTTCTCACTGGGGTTTTTTTGTTTTTGTTTTTGTTTTTTTGCCATTCCTGTTGATGTGTAATCATATCGTGGTTTTAATTTTCATTTCCCTATTGGTTAAAGATACTGAGCAGATCATCTTTGTACTCAATTGTCATCTGTATTACTACTTCTGTGAAATACCTCCTCTTATGTTTACTTATGTTCTAATTGGATTGAATGGATTTTTATCATTACATTTAGGGAGTCCTTTATATATGTGTGTGTATATATATTATTTTTTTAAATCGATCCTGCTTTTGAAGTATAAGAACTCTTTGAATAGCTTTAGGTCCCCCAAATTTTCTTCTGTTTTGTTTGAAAAGTTTTATGGCTCTACATTTAAGTGTATGAACCATTTTGATTTAAAATTGAGTTTATGGATTGATGTTCATTCAATCCTATGGATGTCCAATTGTTCTTGCACAGTCATTCCATTTAGTTCCTTTTAGCATCTTTGTCAAAAATCATTTCTGCATATCTGTGTGGGTCTGTTTCTAGGTTGTCTGTTTTGTTTCATTAATTTTTGTATTCTTTTACAAATGTACACAGTTTTGTATTCTTTTACCAGTATACATAGTTTACTGTAGCTCTGAAAGTCTCTGAAATAGGATAGACCAATTCTCTACTTTAGTCATCTTCAAAATTGTTTAGAAGTCAGATTAGGTAGTATATGTCTATAATCCCAGCACTTGGGATAGGAGAATCATGAATTTGAGACTACCGTGTCTTAAAACAAACAATACCTCAAAAGAACAAAATCAAAATTGTTTCAGCTCTTGTAGTTTTTTTTTTGCCTCTGTAGTTACAAAAGTTAATGGTAGGGTTTTTTTTTTTTTTATTAGATGTATGTAAAACTTTATATTAGGGAGAATTGACACCTTTAATGTTGAATATTTTAATCCTTAACATCCTATATGTCTCCATTTATTTATATTGCCTTTGACTTTTTTCATCAGTGCTGTATAATTTTTCAGTGGACAAGTCCTACATGTGTTTTATTAGCTGTCTTTTTGCTTTGAGTACTTGCAGATGCTACTATGTTTTAGATTTTGCTGTTTATGGTTCATCTGAGTACTATGTAGAAATACAGTGGATTTTTGTGTGATTAATCTTGTATCCCACTATTTTATTTAACTCATTTCCAGGAGTTCTAGGAAGTTTTTGTTTTTCTATATTTCTTGAGATTTTTCTGTGCAAAAATTTAATCATGTCACCTGTAAATCGAGACAATTTTATTTCTTCTTTTCCAGTATATTATTTTCTTGCTTTATTGCACCAGCTAGAACTTCCATCACTATGTATGAGAATAGATGTCCCTCCTTGTTCCCACTCTTAGAAAATACAGTGTTCCCTCATTCTCTGTTTTCTTGAAGAGATTCTTTAGAATCAGCGCTAATTCTTCTTTAAACTTTGGTAGAATTTTCCATTGAAAACATCTGAGCCTAAGATTTTTTTTTTGTTAATTTTTAAATACATTCATCTTCTTAGCAGTTATAGAGCTATTCAGATCATCTGTTTTATAATGAGTGAGCTTTGACAGTTTGTTTTTCAGAGAAATGGTCTTTCATGTGTTACTAAATTTATGTATGTAGAATTGTTCATAGTATTCTTTTACCCTTTTGATGTCTATAGAGTCAATAGTGATATATAATTTCAGCTGTGATATTGCTAGTTTTTTTTCTTTGTCAGTATTGCCTAGTGGCTTGTCAGTTTTATTGATCTTTTCAAAGAAACAGCTCTTTAAAAAGATTCCTTTGTTTTTCTGTTTTCAATTTCATTGATTTCTGTTCTTTAGTATTTACTTCTTGTTTTGAGGGGTTTATTTGCTTTTTCTCTAGGTTTTGAGGTAGGAATTTAGGTTATCAAATGTGACTTTCCCTTTTCCAATGTATGTATTTAGTGTTATAAATTTTCCTCTTAGCTCTGTTTTATCTGTATTCATCCACAAAGTTTGATGTTATGTTTTCATTTTCACTAGCTCAATGCATTTTGTTTTCCTTTGAGACTTTCTCTTTGACCCATGGATTATTTAGAAGTTCGAGTATTTTGAAGATTTCCATGTGTCTTTCAGTTACTTATTTTTAATGTGATTCCATTTTGGTCAGATATATTTTGTATGGTTTCAGTTTTTTTAAGTTTGTTGATTCTTGTTCTGTGGTTAAGGATATGGCAGATTCTTCTCGGACACTGAAAAAGAATTGTATTTTACTTTTGATGAGTAGAGTGCTCTATAAAGTGTATTAGATCGTATATATTGATCTGTGTATATTAAATTATGGCATAGAGTTTCTTTCTAGTTCTACCAGTTGTTGAGAGAAGGATGTTTAAAGTTTCCAGCTATAATTAATAGATTTATGTATTTAAAAACTTTCAGTTTTTTTTAACTCTTGTCTTTTTCATCCCTCTGTACCTTCCTGTATTGTTACACTTGGAGTTTCTTTTAATCCACTTAGTGTGTCTTCTAATTGGTATATTTACATTTAGTGTAATTATTGATAAATTAGAGCTGAAGTTTCCCATTTTACTTTTCATTCTCTGTCCATCCTATTTTTCTTGCTTTGTTTCTTTTTTCCTCTTTTTTATGTTAAACATTTTTAGACATCTAATTTGATTTATTTATAGTAATTTTGACTATTTGGTTTGCTATTTTTAGTGGTTGCTCCAGGTATTATGAGTGTTCATAGAATACGGTTATTTTACCAATTCAAGTAAAATATAGAAAGCATAATGCTCTGTGTCCTCTTATTCTCCACATGCATTTATCTACATTAGGGTTACAAAAAATATAATCTACATTAGGATTATAAACCATGTTAAACTGCCAAACATAATTTAGCAAACCTAAGGGAAAGAAACTTCATATCTGTCCATAATTTTGGTTACCACATACTTTTTTTTATCCTTCTTAATGTTCCAAGATTTTCTGCCATCATTTCCTTCCTGCATAGAGAACTTCCTTTAGGGGTTCTTTTAGGACAGGTCTGCTAGCAACTAACATTGCCTTAGTTTATTGTCATGTGAGAATGCTTTTATTTCTCCCTTCATTCCTTTTCACTGAGTATAGAACTCTTGAGTTGACAGTTGTTTTCTTTCAGCACTTGAAAAAGTGTCACTTCTTTCTGGCCACAATGGTTTGTGAGGAGAGATCTGTTGTCATCCCCCATCTTCCATAGATAAGGTGTTTTTCTGTGGCAATTTTCAAGATTTACTTATTTATTTAGGTCTTTGGTTTTCAGAAGTTTTTTCATGTTTTGGTATGGATTCCTTTGGGCAGTTTGCTCAGCTTCTTGAATATGTAGGTTTATGATTCTTGCCAAATTTGGAGTTTTTAGCTATTAGATTCTTTTCATCCTTGTTGTCTTTGTCTTGTGTTCCTAAGACTCTAGTATGAAGATCTTTTGGTGTAGTCCTGTAAGTCCCTGAGAGTCTGTTCATCTTTTTTGTGTGTTCTCTCTGTTGCTCAGGTTGGGTCATTTCTATTTTATCTCCCAGTTCACTAAGTCGTTCTTCTGTGCCTCTGTTCTGCTGTTAAGTACATCCACTGAACTTTTTGTTTCATTTGTTCTATTTTTCAGTTCTGATATTCACATTTGGTCCCTTATATGTTTTGTTTGTTTGCTGAAACATTTTTTTCATTGCTGAATCTATTTTTTAATTTATTTTAAGCATGTTTTTAATTTCTTTTATCATAACAGCCTTATTTTAGGTAATTCTAATATTTCTGTTATGTTGATATTGGAATCTGTTTTTTTTTAACTTATCTTTATCTTATCATTTTTGATGTAATGACTCATTTGAATGGATTTGAGTACATTGTGTTATGAGACTCTGGATCTTCCTCAGTCTTTTTATTTTTAGCTTGTTTTCTTCATCTCTTTTCTGCCAGAGGAGTGAAAATTCAGATTCTATCTAGCCTTGTTAACGACTGGTAGTAGAAGCCTTTCCTTGCTATAGGGTGGAGGTGCTAGTTTTGGCTTTCCACATGGTCTTCACAGAGATATTGATGTAGCTTCATTATTGTTGGGAAATAGTGAGTCTTGACTTCACTTGACACCCTCTGCTATTGGAAGGATGTTGGAGGGAAGCTTCATTTACTGATGGCAGAGGGAGAAGCTAGTTATTGATTAGGAGGGAATGAAAGTCTTAGGTTGTGACACTGTTCCAGCAGGGGTGTTGGGGCATCTCCTTACTTCCTTATGGGCGTGAACATCTAAAATCACCACTTGGTCTTTGCTGGCATGCAGAGAGATAGGGCCATTGTTTTTGCTTTTGTTTTTTAAATTTTAACTTTTTAGGCAGGCATTTTCTGATCTTTTGGCTTTTGTTGGGATTTTTTTGGTCTGCATCCCTTGTTCTGTTACTTTTTTTCCACTCTGTGTCTGAGGTACATGAGGCAAAAAGTAAATCAAAGGAACCACCACTGTGTCATTCCTTAGGGTCCTGGGTATATGACCAGCCATTCTGCCTTCTCACCACATTTAGAGTCTTATACTTGTTACATACCTAATGTGCAAAGTGTTTAGTTGTATTTAGCAGGAGGAATGAGGCAAAGTATGTTACTCCATCTGTCCTGAAGCAACTTCTCATTTATTTTTGTTCCTTAATTCTGAGGAATTAAGTAAGTTATCTCTTTAAGTCAAGTCTACCCTATCTTGTTAGTTACTTCAGTAGTATTTTAAAAAATCTAAGTGCATGACTTCGAGTTGTCATTGGAATGTTTTCTTGTTAGCTTTATAGCATTCTTGAAATTTGATTTCTCTTTCATTATACTGGTTGTTGTCTTCCTCTTTTTAATCCCTTTTCTCAGTCCCCCTTCACCCAATCTAATTTTATTCACTTTTGATCTTTTTAATCATCCCTGTTGTTGAAAGTGTTGGTAAGACAGAGTTAGATACAGACGACTACTATAGATTGACATTAATCCATTAATAATCATTTTTGAAGACTTCTGTACAACATGGTATAAATTTTTATTTTTCATATCAAAAACTGAAAAAGCAGTATATCTATAGTTTGTAAGTTATTATTTACTATAACATTGTTACAGATAATGTGATAATTTTGTTATTTTTAAATTTTGATGTATTATAGTACTTATCTTGGCTTATTTATTTTAAAAATATTTTTAGGAAATCCGCTTACCCAGGATATATTGAACCTCTATCAGGAACCAGATGGAACAAGAAGGCTACTGAACTATTTGCTTGATAATTTGTCAGGTACTGCAAAAAGAAGTAAGTGGTCATTTGTTTAAATTTTTTTATTAAGAAGACATGTAAGAATATTGCTTAAGTCTGTGTTTTCTGTATTCAACCAGTTTCAACAGAACAGCCACCTCCAAGATCTTGGATTATGTTACAAGAACCAGACAGAACAAGGCCAACTGGTTGGTAGCATTACTGTTATTATTATTATTATTGGTGGTGGTGGTGGTACTGGGGTTTGAATTCAGGGCTTTACACTTGCAAAACAAGCACTCTACTGCTTGAGGCATTCCACCAGCCCTGGTAGCCTCTTTAACTCTTACTTTTAGCTGGTCTTGGTAAGTAAGCCGAATGGCATTTTTGGCATGCTTCAGTTTATGGGTAGTGTTAAGGAAGAATGCTTAAGTTGATTTTGTTTGGGAGATTATAATATAGACATAGTTCTTGTTCACCTAGCATCTATAGATGAAATGTTACAGAAACTATGCTATAAAGTAGTATTTCTCAAAAACGGGGGCAGTTTTATCATTCAAGGGACATTTAGCAGAGACAATTTTAATTGTCAGAACTGGGGAAAGTGTTACTGGCCTTTAGAAGATAAAGAGTAAGGATTGTGGTAGATATCCTACAGTGCACAGCCCAGTCCCCTACAACAAAGGTTTACTCACCTCAGATTCAGTAGTGCAACCATTGAGAAATCCTGCCATAATGTATCAATCTAACTTATACACCAAAATCTTTCTCTTTTGGAAGTTTCCAAATCCTAATATGTTCCAAATGTATTTGACATTACAAAAAAATTAAGATAACTAAACTCTTACTTGAGACAAAATAGCTTGGAGGAGCTTCTGTGGCATATGTTACAGGATTTGGTCTATGATACTCTTTGTTCTTGCTTGACTTAATAATATGGTCATTACTTGTTTCATTTTACTTGCCTTTGTTATGCTTCCCAAATACTGCCTTTGCTTTTGGGTTTGGGATTTTGTTTTGGGGTTTTTCATTTGTTTTACAAATTGAAGGTAAGTTTGGTACATCTTTTTAAGACAAATACTATTCACAATTAATAGACTATAGTATAAACATAATTTTCGTATGTACTGAAATGCCAAAAAATTGGTGTGACTCACTTTATTGCGATGATCTGAAACCAAAGCCACACTACGTACAGTTGTTCTATAGCAGAAAATTGGACATAGCTATTAAGGAAACTGCTTGAGAAGTTTCCATATTCTCCATGAACAATTGATTGCATGGTAAAAGGAGTATAGTAATGAGGAAGCTTGGTTTTAGAGATTAAAGGACTCAAGGTCTTTTAGCTTCCAAAATTTCTGTACATACCTCTATAGCAGATAGTAAACACATTGTATTCTTAATTTATTCCCATATCTGTCCTTTCATTGCTCATCTTTACATCCTCCATGTCTGGCATATAGTAGCTTTTCAGTGAGTATAGGTTGAGTAGTTAAAATCAAACTTAACATTTAATTGAAAACTACTACTGAAATTGTTTTTTTTTTCCCCTCCATATGTATGAATAAGTAAAGTTATTTTCCCTACAGCCTTGTTTTCTGTCATGTGCTATAATGTTCTTTGTGATAAATATGCGACACGGCAGTTATATGGCTACTGTCCATCATGGGCGCTAAATTGGGAGTACAGGAAAAAGGCCATTATTCAAGAAATTTTGAGCTGCAATGCTGATATTATAAGTCTTCAGGTAAGTCATACAGAAGACTGTTTAAATTGAACGAATCTCCCAAAAGGAAGGAACAATTATACCGGAATATATTAGTGATACATTTTAAATCCTAGTTCCACAGTTCTTGTTCTTTCTGTTTTTAGTGAATCCTCAGAGCACAGCCTGTCTTGCTTTGTAGTACTGTTACCAGATAAAACAAATGGGTTACGCTGGGTTTAAGCATATGCAATGATAGTTGAATATTCTCCTCCAATGTCCCTGTGCATATTTTTTCAATAGGTAGCAAAGTTACTGAAATTATGGTATTGCCTAGATATAATTTTGCTTTGCCAGCAATATTATTTAGAATAATTAGAGCATAGTGGGAAAAGAATTGAATCTTATACACAGTAACTTTGACTTCTCAGTCCACCTCTCAAAATAACCTACATAATCTTGGTCAAGTTGCTTTCTCCTCATGGGTCTGAAACTGTAATCTGTAATAGTAAATAAAGTCCCTTCTCCTTGTATAATGCTTATTCCATTACTTTTAAGACAAGAGTATGTGTCTTCCATATATTACTTCTAAACTAAGAACTCACCTTGGCAGCCGTACCTGTAAAATGACAAGTAGGTGTTTCAGATAATTGAAAAGATGTTGCATTCTTTAGTCTACAGCTTTGCTTAGTCCTTTGAAAAGGATTATTTCAAGCTTTCAAACTGTACATGTAAAATTTAATATATAGGAAAACTGTACATTCAGAGTTAATATATAGGGCTAATTCTGTCTTGTGCTGTCTACAATTTTTCAGGAGGTTGAAACAGAACAGTACTACAGTTTCTTTCTGGTAGAACTGAAAGAACGTGGCTATAACGGATTCTTTAGTCCTAAATCTCGAGCTAGGACAATGTCAGAACAAGAAAGAAAGCATGTTGATGGCTGTGCAATATTTTTCAAGACAGAAAAGTAAGTCCATCTTACTTATTAAAACAAAAATGTTTCCACTATTTACAGGGCGGAGGCCAAGAATGGGCCAAGAATGTGGAAGTTAATTGGCAAATAAGAGAATGAGTCACTGTATTTTTATTACTCAAGGAAGCAATACAGTTGTCTTAAGGGCTTGTTTTTTTTTTAAATTATCAAGAATAACCTTGTTTTGGAGACATGCTTTAGGTGCTGTTGTTTCTTCAGGTGTTTACTAGGGCTTTAATTCCAAATATTAATTGAAATACTGTGTGGTTAACATTTCCTCTAGGGTGGTAGAGGGATTCTTAAACCCAAACTAGGGAAGAGAATTGTTTAAAAATTACAAGATGAAATATTCCACCGTGAAGCCTAAACAGAAGATGACTGACTACATAAACTAAGTTGTAAAGGTATTCCAAGGTCTTATTTATATCAGTAATAGGCTGAAAACAACTTTAAATGGATGTGGGAATCTTGGTGCTAAATGAGGAGGATTTTCCATTAATGTGATTTAAATGCCATCATTTAAGAAATTGGGGGAGAAATAAATTTCCTACAAAGCTGATATCATGATATTCCCAGTTCTATGTTTGTGTGTGTGTTTTTGTTTTTGTTTTAGATTTACTTTGGTTCAGAAACACACTGTTGAATTTAATCAGCTAGCAATGGCAAATTCAGAAGGGTCTGAAGCTATGCTGAACAGAGTCATGACAAAAGATAACATTGGAGTTGCAGTACTGCTAGAACTTCGAAAGGAATTGATTGAAATGTCATGTGAGTGACCCTTTCACTTCCTGCAAAATTGACCTCCAAAATTAATAGTTGTTATTAAGACATCTTCAAAAAAATATATAAAACAAATTCCATTGTGTGTCAGTGGTCTTAACACCTGAAGAAACTCAGTGAGAATTTGTCTTTTCTAAAATACCACATCCTTTTCTCTAGAGCTTTATAGTAGAGAAAGAGTTACCCAAAAAGGTATTACAAACCTTAAAAAGACATAAAGCTAAAAATTTCTTTGGCTCTCAACCAACAATTTTTCACATAAAAAAAGTTGAAGTAAATATTAGTTAAAATATATTCAGGGATTAGAACTCCATACACTTCCATAATTTCTTGACATCAAGGATATATATTCTATAAGCTACTTCTCTTCTTGACGCACATTAAAGGGCTTGAGTTTTGGAAAATGGATCACGTATTTCAAATTAAAAGTATATTTAGAATGACTGTCATGCTGAAAACTAAAACTTCTGTAACTTGAACTGAACATTTGGAATTGGGGATATTTATTGTGAATGACAGTAAAAATGAAAGGTAGAATCTAATAGCTAAGAAATGGCTTAAATATATCTAAGAAAGAGGGGTTATTTTTAAATTTAATTTTGAGAGGCTTGATGTAGGACATCTAAAAACTGAGCTATCCCAAATAGAATAGGTTATCTGTGTATGACTAGTGAATTCCCTGTGCTGATAAGTATCAACCAGAGAGTTAGATAGCTATCTTCCCAGGTTTCTTAACATCACTCAGTTATCAGTGGGGAATTGTTAGGTAAATTTTAGGATCCTTTTCTATTCTGAGATTGAAATACCACTCCCTTTGAGATGCTAAGAATCTATAGGCTGATGGGCAGGTTTTGTTGTTTTCTCTTTCATATAGCTGGAAAACCACATCTTGGAACAGAAAAACAACTTATTCTTGTGGCTAATGCTCATATGCATTGGGACCCTGAGTACTCTGATGTGAAGTTGGTACAAACTATGATGTTCCTCTCAGAAGTGAAGAACATTATTGATAAAGCCTCTCGAAGCCTCAAATCCAGTGTAGTGGGAGAATTTGGAACCATTCCACTTGTGTTATGTGCAGATCTGAATTCTTTGCCAGATTCTGGTAAGAAAAGAATGTTATTTTATATAGGATGAAGCTTTTTGACTTAAAATGTTCAGTACTATATTTTCCTTTCAATAATTCCAAATTTAGTCAAATAAAAATTGAGATTTTGGTAGCAGCCATGAGCAGGTTTTAAAATTTTTGTGTGAGTGGTGGGGGTAACACTGGGGGAAGAAAGTGGTATTATAGAAACTAAAGGAAGAAAAATATTAGTCATCCTTGATATAATGCATGATGGAAGTTGAACGTCATCCCGTCTGAAATGCTCCCAAATCCTAAACTTTCAGCACTGTCATGATGCCAAAATGGAAGATTCCACCCCATGAAACTTTGTTTCATGCAACAAATTATTTAAAATATCATATAAAATTGCCTTTAGGCTATGTGTGTAAAGTACATAAGAAACATTAATGAACTCTGTGTTTATGCTTTGGTCCCACCCCCAAGAACATTATCTATATGCAATTATATGCATATGTTACACATGCAAATATCCCCAAATCTAAAATCCAAAACACTTTTAGTCCCAAATATTTTGAATAAGAGCTACTCAACCTAAATTTTAAATTTCACTTATTTGATTTGTTTGTTGTTTTTTATTTTGAAATGGGATCATGCTATGTTGCTTAAGTCCAAGAGCCAAACTTTTGGACTTAAGTAATTCTCTCATCTTGGCTTCTTAAGTAGATGGGACTACAGGTACATGCTACCATGGTGGACTTTAACCCATTAATTTGAAGTAATTTGTTAAAGAACATATAGTTTGTTTTTTTGAGACAGGATCTTGCTTTGTAGCCCAGGGAGGCCTGAGATTTAGGATCCTCTTGCTTCCACCTCCCAAGTGCTGAGGTTTACAGGCATGTACCACCACACTTGGCTTCATATAGTTTTTTTCATATAGCCCCAAGTTATGTATAATCCAGACTCCAAAAAGGTTATGAAGCAGCTTATTTAGGAACTGGACATGTGGAAGGTATTTATAATCCCAGCAAATGGAAGGCCAAGGCAGGAAGATCACAAGTACCAGACCAGTCTGGGTTATATAGTGAAATCCTCAAAAAAGAAACAAAACAATAGCTTCTTCAGGTTTCTAGCAAGTGATAATACAGTCACAGTTAAATTTGGCCAACTATATATTTTAAAAAATCTGAAATTTTGTTTCTTTTGGTTTAGAAAAATATACCTCAGGCAGAAATTAAGATCCTTTATTACAAAGATCAAATGATCTGAATAAAAAAGGGAAAGGAACTTGATTTTTATCATAAAGTAGAAGACTTCAGAAAGCCTGAGCTTGAGTAAATATTTTTTCTGTAGATGGTACAGAGAATAATCCATGGCTCTTGTAATTCTAAAGTAGATAGTCCTTCCTGTTTGTGTTTCAGCTTGTTGCTCATACTTTCATACAAACAAAAACACTTTGGGATTTGCATGCATGCAGGAATGCATAAATGCACATAGTAGATACATAGGACTTTTTTGGTGTCACAATAGATAAGAGCCATTAAGAAGAAAGAGACTTAAAATTCGTTTTAAGGAAAATAAAAGTATTTGATATCTGTAATTCTTTAGTGCATCTCATCAAGCAATCTGGGTGTTGCTGCTTCAAAAGCATTTGAGGATTACTCTGGCAATTTCTCTACATGATTTCTACCCTCTAGCTACAAAATATCTGATGGGCAAGGAGAGAAAAGTAATATATTTTAGTAGCAAACTTAGGAAAATGTCCAGTCTTGCTGTCTAATTCAATGAAAATTAAAATATATTTGCAGAGCCCATTTTATGCTTAGGAAATTGAGAAAATTGTGTCCGGGAGTGGTGAAGTTGCTCTGTCACTAACTTCTGTAGTTGGCCACACTATAAAATAATACATAAAATCCCATTGCATATCCTGTAAAAAATAATTTTGTATAAGCAGAATCCTACATTCTGAGATGTTGTGGTATTATCTTCAATTGTTTTTTAAAAGTGTAATCAACATGAATTTTAAAAAACAAGGAACTACTTTAGCAAATAATAAGCCAGAGTAAGATTTTGCCTTGTTTCATACAACCATTGAAGAGGATAATTGGGAAGACATATCTGCTTGTAACAATGTAGTTGATGCACCTATGTAAAAATGGATTTGAACAAAATTCTGACATTTAAGAAAACCATTTTAGAAGATGGGAATATGTGTGGGTTTTTAAACCATTGCATGATATTTAAATTACATTCTGTTTGCTGTACAGTGCCCTTGACAATGATAAAAGTACATTCTCTTCATTTTAGGTGTGGTAGAATATTTGAGCACTGGTGGAGTAGAAACAAATCATAAAGACTTTAAGGAACTGAGATACAATGAAAGTCTTACAAACTTCAGCTGTAATGGAAAGAATGGAATGACCAACGGAAGGATCACTCATGGTTTCAAGTTAAAGAGTGCCTACGAGAGTGGCCTTATGCCTTACACAAATTACACATTTGATTTCAAGGTATGTCTTAAGGTTCGTAGGCTTTTAAAACTTCCATTTTATCAGCAACTCTTGTACCTCCATTAAGCCTTGAAAATGTTGGTCCATACTAGAATTAAACTAGTATTTATTGACAACAGTGTTCTTTTACTGCTTCTATAGAGTTTCATATGTTTGATAATTTCATATGAATCATATGATTAGATAACCTATTAGAATGTTTTCCAGAATTAGAAGTCAGATGAAATGAATAATGGCAGTAAATCAGTTCCTAAGTAGCTTCCATCTTTTGGGACTAGTTGTGTCTTACATAGTTATTACTAATAGCTGCATCTGCAGTTACCATAGTGTCTAGATTGGGGTCAGGTGAGGTCAGTCAGCCTTCTCATACTTTTAACTGAAACCAAAATGTGATTTATATTAGCCAATTTTAAATGTTTCTAAAATGCATTTATGTGCTTTCTTACATAGTTAACAGCAAACAGTGCAGAGCCTTTTTTTGGTGACCTTGCCATTTTTTATATCAGTGATTAGGATTATGCCACTTCCTTGTGTTCTGCTGTCCTTTTTAGTCACTTTTTGTTTTGCTACACCCAGTTTCTATTTCTGTCTTCTGGAAAAATACTCCATTTAAATTCTGAATTGGAATGGACACAAGAACATAGGTAGAGTCTTAGGAACTCTTGCACGTTAAGGCATAGTTCAAGTGTTCCTTCCTTTTAGATTCTTAGGCATAGTGATTGAAAAGGAGGCAAGGGTGGTAACCAAAGGGTGGGAAATTGCAGGTTGTTTTCTTCTTGTTCTGTTGAGTAGAGAAGGGGGGGGAGGAAGGAGAGGAGGAGAGGAAGAGACAAGAAGACACTTGAATAGGTTCCAGTGACTTTGGCCAAGAGCATGTGGAGAAGGGGCAAAGCCAGCAGTTCCATAGCAGTATGGTGGATGTCATCCCTAGGTGCTGTTGAGGATACAGAGGATACGTGGAGACGTAGCTCTGTCCTCATGCAGCTATGGTCTGATGGGAAACATGTCTCAGTTAGCTTTCTGGTACTGTAACAGCATACCTAAGATAATTTATAAAAAAACTTATACAGTTTTGGAGGTTCCAATTCATAATCAAGTGACCCTGTAACTTTGGCCTCTCTGACAGTGCAGCACATCATAACAGAAGTGTGTGGTGGAGCAAACTGCTCACCTTATCAGCTAGGAAGCAAAAGTAGAGAAGAGATTAGGGTACCATAATCCTTTTCAAGGGCACACTGGAAAGTGACCAAAGGACCTCCTGGAGGGTCTATAATACCTCCCAGTAGTGCTATCCTGGACACCAAGCCTCTTACATGTGGACCATTGGGGACATTCAACATCAAAACTACAGCAGGTCTCAACTACAAATGAGTATATACTACACATTGGGGTAGGCATTAGCAAGGGAAGAAAGTCGTTGGTTGGAGGTAATATGTGGGTGGGAGGAGGATTTAGGAAAGTTTTTGGAAAGTAATTATACCTAAAATTTGAAGATTGAGGAGGAATTAGTCAAATGACAAGTAGAAGAAAGTGTTCCAGGCAGAAGAGAGCTTGTGCACAGGCCCTAGGGCAAGAGAAAGCTTAGCACCTACAGAATGAATGCCTTCCTTCCTGCCCCCCACCCCCCATATAGGTAAGGATGGCAGCAGATGGTGAGCAAGGGAAAATAGCACAAAAGGCAGTATCATGAAGGGTCTTGTAGGTAATTACCTAGATAGGAAGAATGCTTCATTCTACTGAATTTGACATTTGGTAAGTTCGTTTTGTTTACCAAACATGACTGTAAGAATGTCTTCAAACACTCAGTATTTCAGTGTTATCTTATGTGGGGCCTTTTTATTCTTGTTTTTCAGGGTATAATTGATTACATCTTTTATTCTAAACCTCAGCTGAACACTTTAGCCATCCTGGGACCTCTGGACCACCATTGGCTAGTTGAAAATAATATTACTGGCTGCCCACATCCACTCATCCCCTCCGATCACTTTTCACTTTTTGCACAATTGGAGCTCTTACTGCCTTTCCTGCCCCAAGTTAATGGCATTCATCTTCCTGGCAGGAGGTAGTCAAGTACCTTCAAAGGACAACCTCAGTTTTACTTGTAAGCTCGTGAAAATCTGAATATAAGGGAGTGAGGTATGGCTACGAAGGATTTTTTTCAAAATGATGATTTGAATTTTTAATCTGATTATTTGATATTAGGGTATAGTATGAAAGCCAGGTGCTAGCAACAAATTCTGAGCCCAATATGCTTTATATACTGCTAGACAGGGATTGGTGTGTTTGCACCTATTTTTAATTTGTTACAAGTAATTTTCCTGTTTCTTCTATCCAATAAAATATTTTCATGCCTTGAAATAGGAAAATGTTTGAACAGCATATTCTCTTTGCACAGAAATCTGTAGCACTACTTTTTTTTGAGGCCAGTAGTAACACCCAGAGACCATTCTTCCAGACTTTACTCCCTCCTTTTTCAGACTTGTTTGTAAAATGTAGAATTTGAATTTAGCCTTTATGATTGTATATGAACCACAGAAGACCTGATTTATGACATTTTGTACTTAAAATCAGATTTGAAAACAATTGTATTATAAACTAAGGCTAATTTTTTTAAAGCAATTTCCTGTGTTCTGAAGGCCAGCTTGTAAAAGAGTTGCAACAGACTTTCTCTGCAATGATTTGCACTGTTAGGGTTTTGTTAGCCCTTTTGTACTACTTTATTTTTAAATTGAGAACATTGCTCTTTAAGTCTGCTTAGACCTTAGGACATTTTCTTAGACCAGAGGCAACTTATTCATGAATTCCTGAATTTTTATGAAAACTATCTACTAGGACAGATAAGCTGAACAGTGAATGACCTCTAGGCATTTATAGAATGAATATGATAGTTGATATATGTACATTCTGAGATTTTTAAGTCTTTAACTTTTTAAGTTAAAAAATTACAGCTGCTTAAGTACAGCTTCTTAACTCCTTGTTGAGACACCTCCTGTCCTCTCTCCACGGTGCCTGCCTAAGTTTGTTCTCACCAAGCACTGCCTGTGCATGCAGAGAAAATCTGTGCATCTTCTTTTCTATTTTTAAAAACTTTAACATTTGTGAGAATTTTATGAAAATGCTTTTGTACGAGCTGTGGCTTTTTCCCATTGTGAAGCATTGAGTATCACATTTTGGAACATGTACATAGGGTGGGTCCTAGGGTCTTTGCCCACCACACCCAAGCACTGCTTCTTGGTGCCATTGCACAGTGCTCTTTGTCACCCAGGATACTACTATCATGTGAATTGTATTTGGTTATCCATGTATTCCTAATTTTCTTGTGTTTTTTAAAATCATTCCTTTTTTTTTTAAGAAGTGATTTTTCCATTTATGAAGCAGTATAAATTAGATGCATTTTCAAAACAGGTCCCTAAGGCAATTCTTCAGATCATTTTTAATGTGACTAAGTCATTTTAATATGTCAACCAAGATAAGAGTTATATTGTACCCTGTATTTTGCCCATAGTGCCATTAATAGATTAGAGATTAAAGTCAGCTTTAACTTTGCAAAGTTAACTTGTATGTGTTCTGTTCTCAGCCATTCGTTCTTCTCTCAAAAATCAAATGAATTCAGAGGGAGCTTGGACTAACTGCTTTTGTTTCAACTGCAGGCAGGGGAGCAAAAGGACACCATGTAAGCATTAAGAAAGAAATTGTTGAATGTTATTAACAGTTTTTATACAGAGAATGAGTCATTTTGGATAATGACTTAAAATTTTATGAAAAATGTTCAGCACTTAATGTGCTTATTCTGTTTTTAGAAAAAATAAAATTACATACTGTTTAAATAAATGATTTTTTTTTTTTTTCAAGAAATTCTCCAAAAGGTTTTGATCTTGAATCTTTCTGACACCTGGTTTTTCCTTTAAGGTTCTTTTTTAAAAAAGAAAAAAAAAAAAAACTTTGTTGTGATGGTGGGTTTTCTTAAATTGTTCTTTGCTTATTATTAATTTTGTTTTTGTGCAAAAATAAATTGTGCTGACACCAAACACATCCAGTTTATAATCAGTACATTGGAAAACTGGTATTATGTCAGAACCAGTGCATAAATTTTTGTGGTCTTTTGTCTTTTTTTCTGTTGTAAGTGTGAATAAAAAGGCGTGTTTGCTCATTTTCTAAACACTGTGTTGGTAATGTGCATGATGACAATTTCCAGTGAGTGGAGCTGGAGGACTGACAAGACTGAGGAAGCCTATTTTCCTGTGACCTGCGTTATGGAATCACAGGTCCAGAGAGCTTTGTGGAAGGGGAGGGAGGAGCACTTACTCATTTTGTATTTGTTAATGGACGATGTATTCTTGCATAGATGCTGGAACTAGAGTGCACTTGTTAGATGCTAAAGGTTTGAGCTTTACACAAAATGTTTTCATCTGTATTTGTCTACAATATATCTGAATTTGGGAGCATCAAATAGCCTGTTACGTCTTGAAAATACTTGTTTTTGATTCTTCCAGACATACTGCATTCTGTGAGTCAGTTTGAACTACATTATTTAGATAAACTGAAGCAAGAGTGTTGATTTACAACTGTAACCTTCAAAAGAGAAAGAAATATTTGGGTGTATAGCGAATAAACAGCCACACCAAAATAGACTGCTACTTCTGAAAGCAAGGTTTTATGTCTGTGTCCTGAATTAATTCCCAATAATCTATATTCCTGAAAATGCAATAAATACTAGTCTGTTCACAGTGTAGATTATTTTTGAAAAATTCTGTAAACAATATATGTAATGTTTTGCTATGATGTTATTTCAGTGTTCTTGCTGGATAAATCCATCTTAGGAATGTTTTACAGAAAATTTGGGGTATAGTTTCTGTTTTAAATATGAGAAATTTGGAGGCACTCAGTTACTTGTAAATCTTTTGAAGTACAGTTTACTATATTAGTGATAATTATTTATGCTTTGAGAATTTAAATAATGCGCATCAAGATAAATCTATGGAACAATTTAAAGTTGTAGAAATAAATTTTGATTTCAAGTTTAGTAGTTGGCAGAAGATAGGCAAAGAACATCTCTAAGAAATATGTTTTTGTTTGTATTCTTACTTGATTTGGTGACAACCAGGAAAACTTATTTTGTGTTAGCACTTTGAAACCTAAAGACATCACTAAATTGGGTAGAATGCACTTCTAAATGTTGAAATTATAATTTAAAACCTTTTCTAAGATTCAGTTTTTTCAGTAGTAACTCTCAAGCTTTAGAGTTCAACTTTTTTACTATTTAAACTTACAGAATTCGTTTATCGTGACTTTTAAGGTTTGGGAGTCATCATACAAAGATAAAAGCAAACCTAGGCAAAAGAATTAACAGCAGTTTCGACAGGAATCAATCATACTCTCCAGTACAGATGTAGATAATTCAAAAAACACTGTAAAGAAGTTTTTCTCTCCCACCATAAGCAGTATTTTAGGATGTTCACTTTGCTCTTTTTTCTGGTTACGTAAACTTTAAAAACTGGTATGTTGATGTAGTGTCTAAAATAGTTATCTAGTCTTTATTGGCAGTACATTATATTGTGCAGTGCACTGGACTAACTCTTGTTTACTGTTCATGTAACAAAACCCAGCACATTATCTGCACTAAACTCAAAGAATGTCACATTTGTCTAGGTAGCTCTTTGATAAGGGTAACGGGAATCCGAATTTATACCAATGGACTGGTGGTAACAAGGGCTTTTACTGTTCTCTTCAGTGGTACCTTCTTGGTCAAATTGTAACTAGCTAGTATTATATTTATATACAGGGTCTCTTTTCCTTACCGATGTATTTTCCTACTCATAGCCAACCAATAAATTCAATATCTGTTTCAAATATTTTAACAGTGTAATTTGTATAGCTATAGTACTGAGGCTTGAGAAAAATGAATGTTAATCAGTGTCTTTAGACTGCATACTTAAATTCTGAATCATCTGGGACAGGGTTATAACTCACCTTTCAAAGGGAAGAATGGGCACAGGGCTGTGATAAGGTAAAATGGTGAAAGCGTACGTATGTCCTTTCTGGCTGTGTTATTCTGTGTAACACTCATATCTTTACCAAAGTTCGATTTAATATTTAGGTCCTTTTGCATTTAGACTTTTGATGTTCTTACCATATACCTCATAATAACAAGAAATGGGCTCATGTGTCTTCCATGTTTTGAAAGGAGGTTGACGTTTTAAATAAATGCTCTTAAATATAGTAGCAAACGTGTTGGGCTTATACCAATTTATTAAGTGTCTCATGGATTAAATGTATTTTGTCATATATATATATATATATATATATATATGTATATATATATATATAAGCTTTAAAAATGCTGGACTTCCTGAATATTCAGAAGTAGGTTTATAGAAGATTAAAAATATTGACTTGCCTTTTAGAAACTTATTTCTCAACTAGGCATGGTGGTACATGCCTGTAATTTAAACACTGAGGGAAAGGTGAGGCCAGAGGGTAGTGAGTTCTTGGCCAGCCTACGATACATAGTATGACCCTGTTTCAAAGGGAGAGGGAGCAAAGGATGAAAACTTACAAATGTACATTTTATGTTGATGTTGTTAAAAATCATTTAAAATCAGAAGATAATTTAGAGAAAATGAATATTTGTTGAAATGTCCAGTTCTGAAAATGAGTAGGTGCTATATAATCTTGAAAATCTAATTTTGCCTGTTTTTGACAAGTCTTGCTCCTCAATATCATTTTCAAAAAAGTAAGTGTTAAACAGTATGTGTGCTATGTTATTTTATAAATTCTAATTAGTGTTTATTGCAGGAACAGACACCTAAAGAAACATGAACTCACTCAAATATATTTAGAATACTATTTGTAGGCTTTAGATATCAAAGTCACATATGCTACAGATTCCTTTTCAGACTATTATTTAGGTATTTACACATAAATCAATTTTAAAATAAGTTTTCACAAATATACATAGACAGTTTTAACCCAACATATATGAGAAGAATCTTGTAAAATATAACTTTTACTGGAATTTTTAGAGGCCTTTAGAAATATTTATATAAGTAAATTTGCCCATCAATTGTTCTCCAAATGAGTCTAAGCAGTTAGTCCGTGGCTAGGAATGGGAAACTGCAGGATTAGAAGATAGCTGAAAAAATGTTTCTACAGTTTTTGTGTTTTGACAGTAGTGGAGTTTGAACTTAGGGCCTCATGCTTTTTGAACCACTCCTACAGCCCTCTACAGTTTTTTTAAAAAGACATTTAACATTATTAATCATATGAATAAATGAATGCAATATCTTTTACCTGCAAAGGTCAAATCACTTTATAATTTGACTGTTAAATTATTTGGGACCTGTCATGAGAAACTATGCTTACTCTCTCAGTGTGACCTGAGGCAGTCTTCAAGATCTCTTACTGCTAATAATTCCAGCCTTTCTAGTAAAATGAGTCTAAGCTGCAGGGCTGTGACTTGAAGAGTGGAAGGGTGTTGGACCATTTTGGTGAATCCTGGGTGTTAAACCACTTTTCCTGGTCATATCCTGATGATACTCATCTAGAATGGAGGCATCGAATTG